TTGTCACGTATATTAATCAAAAAAAATTTCAATAGGGATTGGAATTCCACTGTAAAGTTTTAACGGCATTTTTAAAGTTAATGTAATGAATATTCTGTCAATACTATTTTTTTATTAAAACAAAACGTCATTTTGAAATACATATATTGAAAAATGTAGACCTTTAAACTCATACTACATTACAAAAAATTGGCCCATTAATCTACTAGTACATAAAAAGGTGGTTTAAAACAAGAATCAAGGGTTTGATTGTATACACATTAAAACTTATTATTATTATTATATTTAAATTTGCATAAATTGCATAATTGCGTGATTGCGTAATTGCATAATTGCGTAATTGCATAATTTGCATAAGTTAATTGCTTCAAAACTTAAAAATCTTATAAAATAAAAAAGCATGAAATGTATAGTGTTTTCTCCTTAAAAAAATTTTCCCCAATTCAAAATGTTTGTTTATTATTATTATTGTTTTATTAATAATAACCTCCAGCATCAAAATTATTCTCGGTGTAATTAGAGAAACTGGGAAATAATTGGGTGGCAATGTTTATTCTTTCTTCATTAGTTAATTCCTGATTTTCGACCGCCAAAATGTTAATGTCATCGCCAGTTTCTTTATTTTCTATTGAGCCCTTTGATGTGGCTGTATTATAATAATAATCGTCATTATCTTTGTTACTGTCATTTGTTGAAGGTGACGATAATGCTAAAATAATTTGCAAGAATTAAATGTTAAATGTTAAATGTTAAATAATATCAAAAAAACATATTGAACGATTGAACTTACGATTATACATTTGTATAAACAATTCCTTCTGCTTGTACGAGTTTTTGACTTTGTTTGAAAGCAACTCAAATTTGTATTTAAACCTCTGATCTAAACTGTTTCTCCATAGATCCGAAGCTATTTTAGAAATATGACATCTCACTAGTTTTTTTTGCGTGAGGTAGCCCTGAAGCACTATCCTAAAAAGTATGAATTTTGAGGGAGGCCTACATCCTTTGCAAACTTGCAGAATAGTCTGAGGATCGGGAAATTCAAAATTTTCTTCTGCATTTGGGCCAATTTTTATATAATATTTATCATCTTCTTCAACATCTTTTCTGATTCTAATTATAGAATCAGGTCTAGACTTTAATGACTTTTTCAAAGATTTCCTAGGCATTTTTTATTTATAATCAGAGTTGTGTTGCGAAAGAAAAGATGGGGAAATGGAGAGGAGAATGGGCAAATTTAGCGTTTTTAAATAGAAAATAGAACCTAATAAAAGATTGTAGTAACAATAGGACATATTTTTTCCCTTAAGAGGTGAAACTGAATAGAAAAGCGAAATAATTAACTAGTCTTTGAAAATATTACTAATATATATTTCTAGAGAACGCGATATTTCCATTATAAACGTTAACATCACTTTACAATAGCAATTAGTACTACAAAAATTATTTTGTGACATTATGTGCAGCATTCTTAATTCGGTATGAATTTAAAATTTTACACTCGTTCATTGTTTATTACCTTTCCTTATTTCCAAAGGTGAGTTATATCAATTAATACTAATAATAATAATATATTTTTTTTCAAAGAAAAACCAATTAAATAATTATTAATTTTTTATTTTTGTAAAAATTGTTTTTCAAAATAGAAATTTTTTTTTTTTTTGGATAATTGGAAAAGCTATATACACACAACACACAACACGTCATACATCTACATACATTATACATGTATTTTTTTATTTAAAGATATTTATCTGGTAAATAAAATCATATAAAAAAACCAAATATAAAAAAAGAAAAAGATTAAGATAAACAAGTGGTTGATTAATTTATAATGAAACAGTATCAAATGTTGATGTCAGTTTGTTTACTTCCTTTCATATTAATAACAACACTTATACCCAATTTAATTGCAATTGTAATTTTGGAATAAATGCACAAGAATCCTGGTGATGCTAATACTACACTCACAACACCTGTAAATACACAACCGCCACCTAAAGTAACTTAATCTGTATCTTCTACTTTATCGCCAAAAGATACTACAACATTAGATGATCCAGTACCAATAACTCCAAAACTTCAAACATACATCACCCAAAGAAACATCAAAAAGTCAAACTTTGCAAGAAAATCAATAACCTACAGTAACACAAAAACTCACAGTATTTAGTAACTCTACAATCTTCAACAGCATCACAATCACTGTCATCATCCAGCGAACCACTAATAACTACCACAGTGAATTAATCAGAATCATCTCAAATGCTTAGTCAAACTGCTACACAAAATCTAAATCCAAATCCTGATAGTATGCCAAGTGATGTCACTTCCGAGGATGCTGATGTTAATGTTAATAATGGTGATGATAGTTGACAACTAAAACTGCAGTAATATCTGTTCCTATAATTATTATGGTAGATGCTACTATAGGTATATGGGAATATAAAAAATCAAATAACGATTTATTGATAAACGGAGATGAGGTTGTGCTAAGGTGACATTGTGGGTGATCCATTCCATTCAAAAATACACTGGATCAATATCATGTGGGGCATGCCACAACAAAACCAGACAAAGTGAACATTTATGTCACAAAGATCAAAATTGTTTGACACTACAATTTTACTACAAATATAGCATGATATTTTTGTTTCTTCCACTTATTACTTAACTGATTGATGCACAGGATTATCACAATGAAAATAAAAACATTGTTTAAAACAAATTATAAATGTTACACATTCAAGTCCATTATGTTTGAGCACCATGAGTTCAGGTAAAGAACCTACAAATCTTTCAATAATCATTGTTAATAATAAAATAAATATCCACATTTTCATTAACAATTTAATGGTGAATTTTTTTGTGAAGGCTGTTATTAGGCTCTTGATTTTTTTTTAACTCACAAAAAATCAACTCTATGACATAAATCAAAAATTTGATGAAATAATCAATCAACAATCTCAAATGATGAAGTTCAATATTTTAACAGGATGGTTTGGTGGTTGAGGCCCAGAATTTTGTACTTAATTAGTAGTTAGAGAACCTAGTACTAGGGATCAACAGTCTCAAGGTTCATCCTATATGTTTATCCTTGTATTGGCTGGTTTTGTTACATATAAGTTAAGCATTATAATTGTCAGCATCACACACACACATTTATTATTTAAAACTTTTTTTTAATTCACTTCATTACAAACTTTTTTTAATAATTGAGTGGGGGAGATAAAATAATATATATATATATATCTAATATTCAATATAAATGTTTGCTAATATAAATGTTATTGACTTTGAAATTTAATTTCTGTGAGTTAATTTAACCTTCAATTCAACACATCTAGTACCATCAAAAGGTTGCAGGCGCATAGGTTTATCACTTACCATTTCAAATTTATATTTTTTGTATAATAAAGCAACCAATAATTTAATTTGATTCATTGCCAGATGTCTTCCTGGGCATATACGTAATCCACCACCAAAATGTAAAAATGTATTTTTAATAAAGGAATCATCTATTCCACTATTATTGTCATGATTTTTATTTAAGAATCTTGAAGGATCAAATTTAGTTGGCTCATTCCAATAATTTGGATTCATGTGTAAACTTTGAACATTTATTGATAGTAGAATTGAACCTGGGATTTTGTAATCACCTATTTGATCAAAATTTGCTGACTCACGATCAATCATTATTGCAAGAGGGTTAATACGTAAAACTACAATATAGATAAATTTATCATGTGAAACAAATTAAAAAATAAAATTTATAAATAACAATAATAAAAATACAATTATGAATTAATACCTTCTTTTTACAGCTTCAATGTATTCAAATTTTTTTAAATCTTCATAATCTAAATTAGATTTATCTCCAAATACTTTTTTAATTTCTTTAAGAATGTTTTCTTCAACTTCAGGATAACTAAGTGCATAATATATAAGACATGATAAAGCTGCAGATGACTTTTTTTTCAATGGAAATTTTGGTTATTAATTTAATTAATTACATTTAATATATATATAAATAAATACAAATCTAAATAAATATACATACAGTCTGAATTCCCCCACCAAATGTTTCACTAAGAACATTATTAATTTCATCATCAGTCATTGGTTTATCATTAAAATCATTTGCAATGCCTTGAGTAATATCTTTTGGAGTATTAATAGTTAATAACATATTCAACATATCAGGTGTCAGGTTTTCTTTATCACTAATATTTTCAATTTTGTCCCTACGTTCA